TATACTGAGGACAGAAATGTGTAATACTAAAACCATGCTTGAAATACGTGTCATTTTGGTCTTCTAAATGAGTACTGCTTCTAATGTCCTATCAATTATTAGTATACTCTCTTTAAAGTTAATGTTTGTTAAAAAAAAAAGGTAATAAGAAGACAAAAAACAAATGAATAAGAACAATAAACCCACACTTGCTATCAAAAGAAAAAAAAATGCTATGCTCTAACAATGGAATATGGCATTACCCAATAGATGAGATCATATTCATAAAAAGTACTTGTAAGTACTTACAAATACTTTTTATGACTTGTACATGACATACATATAAAGGTCTATTATGTGAATAAAATCAAAATTAAAATGATATGAACGCATTTACTGATTTTATTGTTTTTGCAGTGCTAAATATTGAACCCAGAGTCTCTCACATGCAAGGCAATTGCTCTACCACTGAGCTGCACCCCCAGCCCCTAATTTTGAAATTTAAAAAGTGGTAGTACACCTTAAAATGGTAGATATCAGAGGTAAATTTGGAAAAAAAGAAAAAAATAGGACTTTAATAGTTATTATTTAGGTGTCTTTCTGTTTTTTATGCAAGTTCATAGCTGTCAATGTTTGAGTGAGAGAGACATGAGAAGAAGACTCCCGGTCTTCCAGAATAGTAAAAAAACTGTGTGTGTGTGTGTGTGTGTGTGTGTGTGTGTGTGTGTGTGTGTAAAGGTGTATAAAGGCAGCAAGAGGAAAAGAAAGGCACATACTGGGGAAGGAAAAGAAAAACCATAGTGGGAGAAATCGCACATAAAATGGTGAAGCTGCAGATGTATTACAGAAATCATCATGACGTGTTCTCCTTCAAATGTTTTAGGAAATGGACACAAGAAATGAATCTGCATTAGATAAAAGCAAAAAGATTTGGAACAGGTGGGAGTGTAGCCTTTTGACCCCCAAAGCTTCCTCAATTAATTTACAAACAGCCACAATTTGGCTACTAAAAGAAATGCCCAACTATGCATGGCTCTTATTCTTTTATTATATTCATGTGATCATATAGATAATACATTGTGGAGAGCATGAATGTAAAAGACAGTGGGGTTTTAGAAAATATTTCATGCATGCATTTTATTAGAATGTCACTCAACACCAAGATATGTGATTATGATCTTCTCACAATTACTCCAACATAGTCAAACCCGCACTTACATCAGCCGTAGGAGATGGTACACACCAAGTAATACTTTGGTAAAGTGTAAATTAAAATTATTAAATACACCAGAGCCCTTCAGTAGAAATTAATTGGGGGCCTACCAGGCTGTTAAGTTCTCTAATGGCAGATGAGTTACTCTTAGAGGTGGAACCTGCCATCCACCAACAGACAGCTGCAACCATCTAACAATCAACAGGAGTTGCCAGACGCTCAGCAGGCCTCATCACAAGACGTCAAAAACAATACAAAGGCCATCACAATTTGGCTGAGTCACCTTGCAAAGACATGACATATTTTTTTTTTTCTGCTGAACTCATCCATTCAAGAGAGTTTGTGAAATAAATGGTAACCCAACCCCAAATCTCACGTTCCTCTTCACAGAAGTAGGCATATAGGAACTATTAAGTAACTAAAGGAAGATACAAATCACACTTGTATTTAACTGTTTAATGCAAAACTTTAACTCGCATAAACCCCCACCTTGAAGCACTTTCTTACTGTCATGTTGCCATGAACTTAAACCCCTGTCCATGCATACAAAGGAAACTTAGTGGTTTGATATTGAAGAGTTAGCATAGGTCTATTCTCTGCTAAAATTATTTTTAAAAAGATTTCACTTTTTAAAAACATTATTTCTGTACTTTATATACTACTGACTCTTCAAAGTAATTTATTTTTGAATGTTGAATTTGGAGAAAGTTGTTATCACAGAGTATAAAGAATCAAAATTCATCTCTAAGTGGATTTTTTCTAGCACAAAACCAAATTGAAACACTTCAGAAACACAAAGATCTTTAATAAACAGTAGATGGAGAGCAAGACTGCATTTATTCTTGAATACTTGGGGTAGTAAGAGTTATGCTTATAAAATACCAGAATGATTTAGGGATATTTCACTAAACAAATTTTGGCAAATAGTCTAGCAACACAGAAAACTTGTATACATAATAGATAATATGCAATATATTGTACTACATATAGATAAAAGGCAAACATAAATATAACTGTTGTATTGTACTATTTAATTTACACCATGTCTGTACCCACATGATAAGTTCACAGTTATATCTAAAAAACTGCATTTACAACAGTTCCCTTTTTTACTATTTGCATAATTTCTAGTAACAATCCTTACAGGTCTAATACATGTTTTTCTTTTAGAGATTATAATAATCTATATTTTAAAAATGTATTTTAATATCATGGCCCAAAGAATATAAACCCCAGTATATTTTATGGATAACTGGCTTAAGATTTGAGAACTTTTCCAGTAAAACAGCCAGTGCCCCCAAGGGTATGATCTTAAAAATTCCTTTGTCAATTTTCGCAATGTACCTCCTTCTACAATCACCTTCAGGCCTTTGAACTTGACAATATCACTCTCTTTTAGTTTTTAAATTTATAGAGAAAGAAATAATAATGTGAAGAATTCAAAACAAAAGTGAAATCTGGATCTTTACAATGCCATTTTTATGCAAAATCTTACAGGTTTTATTTTGCATGTCAGTTTCAAAATTCTGCTTTACTACTCAACATAAAAACATGTCTCTGAGCCAGGCACAATAGCGCATAACTGCAATCCCAGAACCTGGGCGGCTGAGGCAGGAGGATCATTGGGAATTCAAGACCAGCCTGGGCTAGTGAGCTCAAGGCCAACCTGAACTGCAAAGGGAGACCCTGTCTCAAATAAAATAATAAAATAAAAAGTCTCTGTTCCAAGTCTTGACTCATAATATCAAGAAAATCTCCCAATTCTGCTAATTTATGTTTTGGTTCTTCACTGCTCAGAGAACAGCAGAGTATATTCATTTCTATAATTTTGTCCTCTATGCACTAATTTCCATGAAAAAATATCTGAAATATTTATTCTAGCACTGTTTCTCAAAGGACAATTCCTAATTAATACAGGTAGGAAAAGTCAAGGCTTAGTTTCTTCTGTCCCGTCAGAAGTGAGATGCGAATATTGATACTTGGCCCTCTTTCTTCTAAAAACCTTTAAATAATATGTAAAGAAAAAAAATAAATCCTAAAAACTGACAGATGAAGTTATATACATCAATATTTCTTTCTTGGTTTCTTTTTCTTTTGTTTCTACAACAAAATTTCATGTCATACTTAACATTCAGTATTCTTATCAAATTTCATTTCATGTTCAAAGTATCACACAATAATGTAGTTTGTTTCTGGGTTATTCAGATATATTACCCAACATAAAATGTTTCCTATATCCATCCATAATCTATTTCCTTACCTGCCAATAACTAAATTCTCCATTGTAGGAAAATTGTCCCTTGTTTGTCAAGCATCTTGAGGGATAAATATATCAATAATTTAAAACTAACTGCTGAATGAGCTATACAAGGTTGTTCCCTTTAATTTTATATTACTCTAAAATATACATATATACACATCCCACATAACAAATTTACATAGTCTAAAAATTAACTGCAGATATAATTCCAAGTGCACATTTAGTGATTCACAGTTGAAAAGCAAACTTACATTCAGGTAAAAAGAAATATGGTCTTATATTCCTAAATTACACAGCCAGGCGAGATACAGAATGTTCTAACATTTCTTTTAGACATAATATTTCTCACTAGTCTTAGAATGTACAAAACCGGACATAAATCTCAAATTATTTATGTCAGCATCATCCCATGTAGTATTATTATTGCTGACAAATTATCCAACTTGCTCACTCTACACAAAAAATGATATGAACATACTATATGTAAACAAGCATTAGAGACAACAAATGGAAATTTTATACAAAATACATAACTTTGTATTGTTTTGACCAGAAAACCCTTAGCATGCACATTCTTTTTTTTATATTAAAAGTATACTTAACTACAGAAAAATAAAAGCAAGGGGAAAAGGGTGCTTTCACAACTATGCTGTCTATAAATAACTATACAACTTAGCGATGGCCTATAACCTTCACGAATTTCTTTTGCATGGTTACATTTACTAGGAAGTGGTCCAGAACACAGAATATGGTAGCAAAGCCCAGTTCTCACATTTACTCCTTAGCACATCATTAACTATAAACACTTGTAAGAAAGGCATAGTGCTGAGCCCCTGTCTAGTCCCAGCTGTTTGGGAGGGTGAGGCAGAAGGATGGCTCAAGCCCAGGAATTCAGGGCTAGTGAGGGCAATACAACGAGATGCCTTCTCACAAAAGGGAAGAAGGAGAAGAAAGAAAAGGGGCGGGCGGGGGGGCTGGAAGAAGGGAGGAAGACCTTTGTAGATCACATATTGAATAACTATCAAAATTGAGAAACAATTGAAGAACTTGTTTAAATGAATAAAAACCAGAAATGATCAAAGGAAGCCACAATTGCCTCTAAGTCTGAAAAAGTAGAAATTCATGTGAAAAGCTCTGAGCTCAGTCTCCAGCACCACAATAACAAAACAGACAACTAAAAACAACAAAACATAAAGGGAAAAATTTTAACATTTACCAAGTGTAACAAAACCACTGTCATTTGCCCCCTCAACACAGAAACTCCCAATAACTTCATTGCACATAAGTTTATACTAAGCATGAATGGTTGAAAATAAATAGAATGGGTACAGTATTTACTAAAAGCAACTATGTAAATAAATGCTTATTGACACTGACTTGGGTACTGAACTAGCCAGTCAGAGGGCCACTCTGACACAGGTGAACCTTTTGATCTGTCACTTCTTGATGAGTTCAGCCAACACTGTTGCACAGAAACTCCAGGTCCAGACCAGCAATCAGGCCCATCGGCCACTGGAGGCAAAGCTTCTGCTGAATGAGAAATTGATTTCGGAGTTCTTGTACTTTCCCCAGGCACCAAAAGGCACTACTACTGCAGTACTGTTATCTTCAGTACCATACTGAATTGCCTGCAAAGTTTGCCAGGAAGAAAGAGAAAAGCATTAAAGTTCAGAGTCTGTACAAAGACAAATCATTCATTCCCTGGAAGCCAGGCTGGTTTTATATATAATTACTAAATGCAATTGTTTAACCATGGTTTGTGATTCTTTCACCTTGTTATCAATGTCCCAGAAGATCATCAAATCACACATGGAATAAGAGAAGACCCAAAATGATCACAGTCACTACATTCTACTGTAATGACCTTCATAAGAGAAACACTGTGGCTGACACACAGCTCCTGAAGAACATTCATGCAGAGCACTTACTGTGGAACCTAACGCACAGTAGAGTGGATAACTATCAGCTCTTGCCAGCAATTCTGCTTCTAGGAATTTAGCCTAAGAAATTAAAAATCTAGGAAATGATGTGCAGAAAGATATTACTTCAGGATTGCTTATTATGTTCCTTATAAAATGTAAATGTGAGGATAAACTAATTTCCCACAGGAAGAAAAATATACATCCATTTTAAGAACTAGTTCAAATAGCAAGTGACATGGTCAGTATTGTAAAAGTGCTTGTAATTATACTATCAAATGTATTTCAAAACACCTCACATCCCTAAGCCAAAACTGTAAAGGAAAAGAATAATGAAAGTATCTTTTGTAAAATGCTTCAATAAGTGAAAAATTTTTACAAATTGAAAGACAAAAAACTTATAGTATTGAAGAGCTATTGTAAGGGCCAGCCAGATAGCTCAGCGACTAAAGTGGCACCTTAGGCAGAGTGCAGAGGTGGTGGGGGGGAGTTTCGATCTCCAGCATGTTGTGCCAGGCCTGCCCCCAGGGCATGCTGAGATGGCAATGGAGACTGGGCATGGTGGCGCGTGCCTGTAATCTCAGCGCTTGGGAAGCTGAAAACAGGAGAATCACTACAAGTCCAATGTGTGTAGTAAGGCCCTATAGATCTTCTACCAAATACATTTTAAAAAAGAGCTATTGTATTTAATATAGAGGAGGGTCTTATAATGAAAATAAAGTAATAGGCAAAGAGAAAAAAGAATACAATGACTAATAAACTTTGCTAATTGTTAACTCCACTAATCAAAACAATGCATACCTAAACACTAAAAGCTTTGTTTTTTCCATCTGCTACACTAGCAAAAAAAAAAAAAAAAAAAAAAACCTTATGAGAATTTGAAAAAACACAAAGTGTTGCACACGTTCATGAGACTGTCAATTGATTCATTATTCCTGGAGAGCCATTTGACATATACTGCTCAAAGCTTTAGAATACTGTGTATCCTTCTATCTACAGATTTTGTTTCTAAGAATTTTACCTAAGAGAATATAGCTATAAAGGTAGATATGCATGGATTAATGCAAGAATGTTTATTAGCCTGTTCTCTACAATATGGAAGAGTAAACATAAAACTAAATTTGCTCATTAGGAGAACTGTTAAATGAATCACTTTACCCTAATAGGACAGAATACTATATAGTCTTTACAAATATCCCAGCCTTTGTGACTTAGAACACATATCTACAAGATGAGAAGTGAAATTAAAAAAGAATTCTGTGGAATTGGGCCTATTTCCTCAATTTTGTAAGCTCCCAGTTATATTGGTTAAATGTAGACAATATAGTATCTAAATGAATAATTTATTCATGATTATGCTTGCCCCTCTGTTTCCAAACAGATAATGTTTTATGTTCTGTTCTACTTACAAATATTAATACTTAAAAAATTGGGCCAAATTTGTACCTCCTATCAAAATGTACATATTTGAAATGCAAAGATAACTATTGAATTAAAGCATGACCAGGAATGGTTATAACTTAAAACTATAGTCTAGCAGAAAAGAATACTGAACAATACAGCAACTTTTACATGTTTTTTAATGGATATTACACAGCTTTCAGATTTTATCCCTGAGTGACAATAATCCTATCCATGCACCTTTCTGTGGTTCTATCTTTTTCATATCGTCATTTTTAATAATTAGAAGTTAAACATGGTGTAGTGTTTCCCATGTTGTATATTTTCTTAGAGCAGTCCAATTCAGTGATCAAGTCCTTGGACTTGGGGATATTGGTTGACTGGGTTTGAAGCCCAGCTCTGTAACATAGGGTCTATACCTCAGATTTCCTCCTCTGGGAAAAGCTCCAACATCGGGGTTATTGTGGTCCTTACTTGAGTTAATATATGGGAACAGAATAATATATGACACAAAATGATATTAGTTTACTATTTTTAAAACTGATTATTGATGTCACTATCATTTCAAAATCAAAAAGTAAACAATATGGCATTTCTACAGTCTCTTAGTTTTAACTACTTGGGCAAATGTAAAACTTTGCTAATTGGAAATACTATGGAATCAAGTGTGAAATTCATTGTGATGTTTAAGCTACAACACAAGATTTCAAAGAAATTTCAAGCTTGTAGTATCCACTTTAGGCTGCATGGAGACCAGGTGCCCATGGTTGTCTTGTACCTTCCTCCCTCCCTGGGGACATCCTAGCAGAAGTTCTGCTATTATCACCTGTTCGGTCACTGCATGAGCCGCTTCAGTAGGATCATGGCACTGATTGACAAAGTCACAAATCTCTTGACTGTTCACCATGAAGTTAATTCCATCTGTGGTGAGGACGAGGAAGCTGTCGTCAGCATGCTGTATCTGCAATCAGAACCAAATGCTTCTGAACACAGACCCGACTCTGACCTAGAATAGTCCTGACAATGGAAGATTTTATGTATTTTGCTGAGTGATCTGTTTGTAGGCAAAGAGCAGAAATGCAAGAAGCATCAACCACCACCAAAGATAAGCCAAACATTTATTTGTAAAGGAAAAAGCCGGGTAGACAAATGATGCAACCAGAGTTTAAATTCTATTTTGTTCATTCAAGTGAGCATACTTTTCAGCGCTAAAGTCATGAGCCTTTGCATGCTTCAGACCCCTGCATACTTCAGATCTGTTTTCCTTGTAAAATGAGGATAGTAGTACTTCTTTTGGACCAAACCTGTCAAATAGCAGGTATCATAAGCATTTGTAACATAAAATGAATATAAGTGAGAGGTCTACTAAGAAACCATTCATGTAACTAATGCACAAACATTTGCTGTCATTATTGAAAGCTGCTATGTAGTAAGTAAGTTGCCTTAAGGGTTTCACAGAAGCAAATATCAGATCATAGACTGGCTGTGCCCTGGGACAATGCAAGGTAAGAAAGGCAGTAGGCCATGGAAATAGAGGTAGGCAGTCATTCAGGTAGGTGGAAAAGGGAAATCAAGGGCAGCTCCAAGCTGGGATGACACCAAATGACCGGGTACAGCAAAGAAAGGGCAACAGAGCCACTCTACCAAAATTCCACAGCTAGGGTGAAACAAAAACCAAAGACTTCATAGCATAGCAGGCCAGGAAAATAGTATCTTATTTTATCTGAAAATTTATCTACCTTTCTATCAATTGCTGCCCTTTGAAAAATAATTTTGGCTCAGTTACATCTTCCAAAAAGCCTGCTTATTCATTCTTTGTACATGCATTGAGGACTTGCAAGTCCTTTCTTACCTTAATCCTCTTTGTTTCAGGTTCTGCTATCACACCACTGGTTTTCAGGTCCAAATCTCCAATACTTCTTGTCATTGCAAGCCTTCCATTCACATGAGGCTGTCCCACGCTATTCCAAGCCACGAAGCCACCACATTTCTTGATCCTGATCAAGAAAAAGTTAAAAGTCTAAAGACATGATTGCAGAAAACTAAGTCTCTGTTCATTTTATACATGACATCAACTTGAAAATGTAAAATTTTGGCTGGGAATATAGCTCTGTGGAACAGGACTTGCCTAGCATATATGAAGCCCTAGGCTTGATTCCCAACACCACAAAAAAGTGCCAAACTTCATTTTGGATGGATGTGGTAGTTGGTGTACAACTGTAATCTCAGTTACTTAGGAGGCTGAGGCAGGAGGATCCTAAATTGAAGCCCATTTTCAGCAACTTAATGAGAGCCTATTTCCATATAAAAAGTTAAAAAGTAGGGATCTACCTTAGTAAGAGGCCCTGGAATCAATCCACAGTACTGAATAAATAAATAATAATACTTCATCTCCTCTTGAACTATAAACATCCCCACAGAATGGTTCATGATTCATGGTGGCCTTACCTTTCTTTTTCATCTTTTCTTTCCGGAGTATGATCAATGGTCAGTTTCATGGGTTTTCCTTTTCTACACAAAAGAGCCCGGCTGTCCCCAACACTGGCTACAACCAGTTCAATGCCGTCTCGCAACAGGGCTACTGTTGCAGTAGTCCCAGAGGATAGAAGAGTTGCTACAAATATTATAAAGAAGAGTATGAGTTAGTGAGAGTCAAATAACTGGATATAGAATTTTTATTACAAAATAAAACACAAGCATGATAAAACTAATGCTGAGATGTATCATTCTAATTTAACTACAGCTATGCAAATAAAATGCAAATGAGTTGTATAAATTACAGCATGCAGAAAAACAACTATTTAATTCAATAATAACAAGGCTCCATGCAAACAGAAAAGATTGCCAACTTACTTTTGTAAACAACACATTACTGGCATTTAAATGGCTTCTATTCATATAAAGTATAGCAGGGTTGAACTTATAATGATGACACTGTTGCATATAATTAGGTGTCAAAACTGAAGCATTAAAATTTAACTAGGCTGGCTACTATGGCATGATGATTTAGGTCTGCTGAACCCATTCAGACAAGCTGACTGTTTTACAATCATCTGATTAGTTTTTTCCTGTTCCAAAGTATAATAAGTTATGTCATAGGCCAAGAGATAGAGAGGGCCAACCATTTTCTTGCTTGCTTTCATTTTTTTTTTTTTTTTTTTTTTGGTGGTTTTGAGACAGAGTCTTGATATATAGCTCAGTTTGGGCTTAAGCTTACTATGTAACCCAAACTGACCTCAGACTCCTGCCTCAGCCTGGCAAGTACAAGACAAAGTCCTGTTCCACCATGCCTGGCTCAACCATTTGCTCTTCAATACTGATTTTATTTTCTTTCCTTCTACAGTTGCTAGACATGAAACAAAGATATAGCTAGGATCTCAGAATTAAATTAAATTCTCATTTCTCATTAACTCAGTGTAGTTAACACTATTAGCTCCAGAAGGAGCAAAGAGAGAGCCTGTGTCCAAGTGCTGGACAATGCTGCCAACTGTTACTTCTGTGGTCCTGCCCAGAGCATTCCAGACATATTAAATTTCTCTGACTGAGACCAAGTAAAATTCACTGTTATGGGTTTGAGATTGCCATTATTCAGTCCATCCAAATCAAATTGCATTTTTCTTTGATTTATTTTAACAGTATTTGCCCTAAGATCTTAACTGCTTGTTGAAAATAATAAAGTGCATTGAGCCTTGCTGAAAGTGAGAAACTAAAATTATGGGCTAAAAAATAAAGCAAAGTAGTGGGATAAATTGAAAAGATAACTTATTTAAAGCAGGTATTATCTCTAGTAACTGTTAATTCTTTAAAGCATTTAAAGAATTATTAAAGCATTATTCAGATGACCATCTAAGAATGATTTTGACTTTAAAGGTAAATTTAGGGAAAAATGTACTGTTGCTTGAGACTCAATATTTCCACAATTTTTTTTTACAAAGACAACTTCAAAAGCTTCATCAGTAACATATTTTGAAGGAGATATATAAATAGTTTATATATGCATACATAAATACATATCAATGGATTTTCCAAGTCAGGGTATTAAAATGCCTGCTTTAATCAGCAAAGTAAAAGAGAAAAACATGAATAAATTCTACTAAATCTTTCATAGTCAAGCTGAATTTATTTTACTGAGAATAACCAGTAAATATAGCTGTACTATCTTCCCACTTATCTGTTGATTTTGGAACTGTTGTGTCAAATTCATGACTGTTAGAAAGTATATACCAATGATGTTTATGTTGCAAAAGTTAACTTTTATCTTGAGATTAGACACTACACAAGGATGGAATTTTTACATGCAATAGAATATTATTTAAACCAACCTAATTTTCAAAGAATTTAAATAGACAGGCAAAAGAACACAGGGATTTATTCAGATGTTACCTGTCCAGGGAATTATGTATTTTTTCCCTTTTGGCTATCTGTAACAGCTTTTTAAAAAGTCACCTTTAATTGACTATGACAAGACTGAATATTTAATAAATGAAAGTTTAGTGGTTTAGGTCTATAATTTGCAGCTCTCCAATTTAGGAACTTAAAAGAATTTGAGTTTTTATCCACTCACCTCCACAGTTCCAAAATCCCAGAGTTAGGGAAAAGTTTCAAAACTAACTGTTGGATTCTGATTTGCTAAGCATCTAAGAATATAAATAGTAAATCAACATTTATTTTCATTTAACATTTAACATAGAAGCAAAAAATTCTCACTTTTCTGGGCTAATAAGAAAACTATAAAACTAAGACATCTTTCAATAAGTTCTTAACACTCACTGGGCAATCTACTGCAAGTCATCTCAACTAATGGGACAAAGAGGATGTGGGAACCTTCCAGTAGTCCAGGCTAGGAAGTGCTGGACTCCTTCACCTGAGACAAAATTAAGCAGATCCCTCTTTCCACTGAAGCCCAGCAAATAGTGTCCACGGGCTCCAGGTCTAGAGCTGGTGACCACGTACAGTTCTCTGCCACAAATAACACGCACAGAGGCAAATAGGAAATTCACCCAGGAATTTTATTCAAACATTACAAACCTGCAACACAGGGGAGGGCAGAGAAAGAGCTGCAAAAAAGGGGAAGGGTTTTTATTTTGGTGAAAATTTCACTAACAAATTATATCATATTCCAGGAGTGCCAAATTAATGACTTGAAAACTCAGGTTGCTCAAGTTGCTATTATTTTATAGATGAGTCTTTTTCAAAATCACATATCACTAATTTTTTTCTTAGTCTTCCCATGTAGGAAGAAACTATAGGCAAATGAATCTGTACCAAAATAACAATGGCAACATATGTACATCTGTGCACATGCATTCTCTCTCTCTCTCTCTCTCTCTCTCTCTCTCTCTCTCTCTCTCTCTCTGCCTCTGTCTCTCTCTCACTCTTGCTCTCGCTCACTCTTACTCTCACTTTTACATAGTTGGTCTTGTATACAGTAAATATGCATAATTACTGAGTTAGAAAAATGCACTGTAAATTTGTTTGGTAGCAACATCAAAGTTGTCCCAATAACAAAACAATATATCCCTTGGGTCAGCACTACATGATCTGTATCAGACAGGCAGTACACAGAGGATGTGAACTACAGTATACCACCAAATTACTGGCATTTATATATCCTCCCTTTTCCCAGGGAGGAATCAAAGCCACTCCTGTGCCAAACACAGGCTTAACACTTGTTAATGGTGTACAATGCGGGGATTTAGAAACAATGTTTCAGTAGAATGATTAATTTCAACTCATTTAAATAAAGGCTACCAAGGCTCTTGAGCCTAACATGTTTATAATTGATAGAATTCATAAGATAAGTATTTCTGCAGCTCTCTCTTTTCCCCAGTGTTGCAGGTCAACACAACAGAAGAAAAATGATTACAATTTTGAACAGCAACCTAAAGGTAAAACTATACTTTTCAAAATATAACAAGCCAGATAACTATTTATTTGTGTACTATAAACAGTATTAGAGGCTGAACATCTCCATAATTATTAAAAAATGGATGTTCTAAACATGCATGACTTCATAAACACCGAAACCAAAGTAATGAATGAACCGAAGCAGTAAGAGCACAATAAGAACTTCTCTTTGATGTCACCCCTACATTTTTTTCAGTTTGGTGATGCCTTTAGTAAGTAAGGGGTACTTGAAAATGTTGCAACAGGGACTGGGGGTGGGGGCACAGGTCCGTAGTCACACCACTCTGGGGTCTGAGGCAAGAGGGCAGCAAGTTAGAGCCCAGCCTAGACAACTTAGACCCTGCCTCAGAAATAAATAAATACATACATAAAGAAATAAATAAAATTATTTATGGGATGTAATTCAATGAGCAAAACCTGGGTTCAATCCCCAGTACTGAAAGAAAAAAAAAAGTTGTATGGGCTGGGCTGTACCTTGGTGATCATGTGTTTAAATGCCCCGGCTCAGTCTCCAGGACCACACACCCTAGCTACTTTTTAGTTTAACTTTTTCTATACATAAATCATAATACGAAGAGCAGCAGTGTTCCACTGAGAAAGCTGTGCCTCTGTTCATGTCTCTCGCTCTGTCAGAGCAAGGTTCCGCCTCCTGATCCATCCATCCGGCGGGCTGCTCTCAGAGCGTATGTTCCTATCACAAATTGAATGCTAAAAAGTTCAAAGATGGCAACAGGAAAGGGCTGGGATCAGTGGCTCAGTGGCGAGCGCTTTGAAAGGCTCAGTACTTAAAAAAATAAAATAGCAAGCCCGAGTCCTTGACCTGACCAGAAAGGTCAGTTGTGAAAATGGGCCTAATGCCAAAAGAAAAGTTGAAAGGAAGTAGACAGGGAAAATTATGGAACCACAGGATTTTTCCAGGCTAGTATTGGATGGATGGATATATATATATATGCTAAAAAGGAATACTATCCACTCTTATAATACTGATACTGCTTTAGTTCTTATTAAAAACTTCAATTTTTTTTCAATTTAAATAACCTTGAAATCTATAATGACATAGGTTTGAGGGGTTTTGTTTTGTTTTGTTTTGTTTTGGCCAGCTCAGTCCTCCTTGAGAGTGGGGCTGGCACAGCATGTGATGCCAGGGATTGAACCGCAGTCCCCTGCACCTGCCAAAGCTTGCCTAACCAGCCACTTTAGACCACTGAGCTATCTCTCCAGACCCGGTTTCAGGGGTTTCTGTCCAAAAATTAAAAAGTTAAAATATAGCATTTTACATTTAGTGACTTTAATATACTTGATAAAATAGGATCCAATACCAGAAGATAATTTTGCCATCTTTGAAAGATTGGGGACTAGGGAAATTGCTCAGTAGAATAAGTGCTTGCCTGGCAAGCACAGGGTCCTGAGTTCAATCCCTGGTAATGCAAAAAAGAAAAAAAAGAAAGATTGGGCAATTTATTAATAATGAAATTTTTTAATGTTCTCAAAACACTAATTTTTAAAAATGCAGACTAATGAATTTTAAGAATATATATAATAATATTTAATGACAATGCTATATTCTTATTCGCATACTAAGCATTATTCTATCTTGGTCTATTATAATTTCAAACAAATAGCTATTAAATAAAAAGCAACTTAAAAGATCTTTATGAAAGTTCTAAGATCAATACCTTAAAGCATATGACAGAGGAACTAAACTAAACAATATATTTTTATTTCATTAGTAGGAATGAATTACAGTTTATGATCAAATTCCCTGCACACCTGTTTGGCTATGTGAAGAAAGTAATCTATACAAAATTTCTTTTTAAAGTACACAAGTTAAATAAATACTCTAAGTTCAAAATTCCCTTGAATTATAATTTATTACTTAATAAATGAAAGAAGTCTTTTCAAATTTTAAACCAAATCTAATACTGATGATCCTAAGCATCAGCACTAATTGGATCCTTTTCATCGAGGCTGACTGCACCCATGAAAGATTAATGTGCCTGGCTGAGAGCCTTACACCAAGCTTCCCAGCCATTCCCTTCTCAGCCCTTGCCTTGCAAGCGGCAGCTGTTTGTGGGACAGCTGACACGCACCGCCAGCACAACACTGTTGCCCATAAACAACGTGGTGTGTGATGCAGTGAGACGCACAGCCAACCTGAGAATGGGTAAACTAAGAGCATACCAAAACTGAGTTATAAAATAAAACAAATTTATTTTCTCTTCCACATGTGTTGTACCCATTTGGAGCAAAAGCTCTCAATCTAATGCAAAATCTTCACCCTCTCTCACCGCCTATCTTATTAGAGGCTGTTCAGTGGAATGAAAGAGAGAAGACAAGAAGCATAAATAATGTAAAAACTAAAATAGAACAAAGGGAGAACAGATGAGAAGGCTTTTCTGAGGAGTATGATGGTAAGGTTCTCAAAAAAGAGCAGGAAAAGGCCGGGGTATAGGTTAGTGGTACAATGCTTTTGTAGCATGCTCAAATTTGGAAGGCTGGTACCGAGAGAGAGAGACAGAGAGAGAGAGAGAGAGAGGGAGAGGGAGAGGGAGAGGGTGAGGGAGAGGGAGAGGGAGAGAAGTAAGGAAGGAAGGGGAGGGGAGGGGAGGAGAAGAGAGGGGACAGGAGGAGAGGAGAGGAGAGAAAAGACAGGAAATACTGAGCCGGGAAGGTGGCTCAGTGGAATAAGCACGTGCCTGGCAAGTGCAAGGGTCTGAGTTCAATCCCTGGTTCTGCCAAAAGAAAAGGAAAGAAAAAAAAGAAATATCTTTCATTATGGTGATCAGAGCCATCCCAGAGTTACCTTCTCTTTTCCTCATCATTAAATACTCATGTGAGAAAGGCTGCACTGGGCCCCAGTGAAGCTCCAGCCCTAAAGTGAACTGACCTTTCTGTGTGCGTTTCAGCTCCTACCTGTGAAATGGAGAGAATTTCTATCCCTGTACATGCCAACTGAAAAACGTGAAAGTGATCATTTCTGTGGTATACATTTTTAAAAGAAAAGGATGAAATAAATGCATATTATTTCATGACTCACTTTCAAATTAGTTTTGGGGCATAGAATCTATGGCTGCTGCTTAAATTTTTCAGAATTAACATTATAAGCAAAAGATTTTGGCCAGCTAACTAGAAAACATTGGCTCAATTTTCCTGAAATGGTTTGGATAGATCTAATTAAAACCAGAAACATTTTATTTTCAAAATGTACACACACACCTTTTTAAATTCAGCTGGCAGGCTCTAGATTTAGCAAAAATAAAAGTAATCACCAGTTAACACAGAAAAGATGCAAGACGGAGCTTTAAAAAGTAAAAGGAAAATGGCTTCCCATTGCAAACTAATGCATATGAGCAATTTCCTCCCTATTAAGAATTGTTAGTGATTTTCTTGTTGGAACAATTACCATCCTCACTGGTAGATGAAATTCTCCAAGTATTTTAGTACTTGCTTATCAGATTCATCTGGAAAAATATTCTCAGGGCATGGATATCTTATTCATAAAGCAAGAGATCAAACAGATTAAAACATTTTAAAGTCTTCTTAAAGTTAAAAAAAATCTAATAGCAGAACATTAGGAGGTTCCCTTTCTGGAAAATTCTTATGTTAAAGTGAGGTACTGACATTTGTTTGTGTTCCAAACAGCATAGATAAAATCATCTCTATATAAGCTCCCTTATAATAAACATACATTAATAACCTCCCCTCATAGCTAGGTTGCTTCCTGTTTACCCTCATCTCCCCAAGACCTTGAGAAATGTGATTGCTTTACATACCATCAGCAGACAGGTGGGCATGACTTGCAAAGGCTTTATCTATTTCTAGAAAAGCCATGGTCAACACAGTTTCCAAGTTTTTCTCCTTAGGAAGCAAATCCCTTTGTAGAGAGGAAAGAGAGCCCAAAACAATCATTTTACCATAGATATCTCTCTTCTTGATCACTCTATACAGCCATATTTCACACAACAGACTTTTTTTGTGGGGGGGAAGGGTCTACAGGGTGTTTAGGGTCTCACTACTAGATTGGACTCATAGTGATCCGCCTGGTTTTTTTGGCAAAACCAGGGATTGAACTCAGGCCATTGTGCTTGCCAGGGCAGAACTTATTCCACTGAGATCCGCCTGTTTACAGCCTCCCAAGAACTGGGATTACAGGTGTGCACCACCATGCCCAGTCTCAACAGCAGTCTCAGCATGCCCTGAGGGCAGAGCTGGCACTGCAGGCCAGGGAATCGAACCCGCTGTCCCTGTGCCTGCTTGCAGACACTTTAATCTGCTGAGCAATTTGGCCATCCCAGACTTCTTAAAATTTATTTATTTGTTTTTGCCCATTTGTTTTTGGTATTAGGACAGAGTTCACAGCTTTATGCATGTAATAAACTTTTAATGGCACAAAAATCAAAGTCTGCCTGGTAATGTAGTCCAGTAGTAAACTACTAGCCTAGCATCAATCAATCAATTCCATCAGTCAAAATTTTTTTTTTGAGGTACTGGACATTGAACACAACGACTTTCCATAAGCTTGTCCCCCACCCCCTCTTTGATTTATTTTTTTTTTAAGGTGGGGTCTTTTTTTTTTGGCAGAACCGGGGATTGAACTCTAGTCCTTGCGCTTGCCAGGGAAGTGGTTATTCCACTGAGCCATTTCCCCGACCCCTAAGTGGGGTCTTATAATGTAGTGCTGGCTGGCAAATTCACTTATATATCCCAGGCTAACCTAGGATTTACAACGATCCTTCCACCTTAATCTCCCAAATGCTGAGATTATAGGCATGTTGGACCACCCCCACCCCCAGCCCCTTTTTATATTTTATTTTGAGAGAGGTTTGGTAAATTTCCAAGGCTGGACTAAAACTTTTGATCCTCCTGTCTCAGTGGACCAGAATGCTGGGACTGCAGACATGTGACAACACACCCAACTTCAAATGCCTATTGTTAAAGAATTAATTCTCACCACTACAGCCCTGTGAGATCAAGAGTTTCTTCACAGTATATTAAACCATTGAACTGTGCAAGGTGCTACGTGCTTGTAATCCCAGCATTGAAGGAGCCTGAGATGGGGAATCACAGGTCTAAGTCCAGGACTCAGTAACTTACCGAGACCTTGTCTCAAAACAAAAAGTTTTTAAAAGTCTAGGGAAGTAGTTCAGTATGAAGGCTCTGGGTTCAATCCCCAGTACTGAAAAAAGAAAAAAGAAAAAGAAAAAGAATTATACTACTGAGTTATTTTATATAGACCGAGAGAAATTATGCATAAATCAACTAATGAACAGTATAGCCAACTATGCACATTGAAGATGACAAATAATACAAGGTCACAACTCTATGATAGGCTCCCCTCCCATTAATTTTAGCAACAGTGATTCTCAAAACATAATAATACTGGGAGTAAAAACATTTTAAAGGGCCTCAAAATGCCCATATTAAAGGCATTTTCTTCACACTAATGCCACTGTCCAAAGATTTTTCAACCAATTCTCAAAGCTATTCACACCATGTATTGTCAAATCAAAAGTGATTGTACGTACGTAATACATTTCTTCATATGAGTATGACAGAAATCTGCAGCTGCAGGGCCCCCATGGCCATCGTACACTGCAAAGTACAGGACCTCCTCTGTCAGCTGAGCAAAGTCAAACCGATCTTCATTCTCTTTGCGTTTGCCAATATGGGAGGCGCAGCCCACATTTTCCAGGCTGATTTTGGGAATTGGCTTGCCGTATTTAATGCTGGGTGGCAGCAGAATTGGCTCATCAATGCGGTTATCCCAAATCCCAAAATTGTCCCAGGTGGCTGGACGCCCACTACCGTCAGGGTCAAACCGAGAACACCTGGACTCTGAGGTGGAGCTGTGACACGTGGGAATGAAGCGCCTGTCGTCCTGCAGCAGGCGAGAGCTCAGAAGTACTCTCCTTCTCACCTGGTTCCCAGTACTTCTAACCAGAGTAATCAAGGCTGCAGTTGACATAACTCCTCTCCCAAGGCTTCAGTAATGAGGGACAGGTCAGTGAACAATCACGGAATGTCTTCACAAGAAATGATACAACTGAGGAGAGAAAGGGACAGTCAATAATTTTGAATATAATTAGCATATTATTAGAAATTGCAAAGCTTCAACTTGTAATCACTCTAGGGTCTGGATAAAATTCAACAGTTTTTCTGGTGCTGGGGATTGAACCTAGGGCATTGTGCATGCAAGGCAAAAACTCTACCAGTGAGCCATATCCCCAGCCCTAGCAACTTTTATTTAGTGCTTATTTATTGTCATTCAGTTGATATGAGGCAGAGTAATCTCCTCAGAGATTCTCCCTTTCTAAGCAGCTCACTGGTGATAATAAAGCTGACAGGCTACACTTTGGGGTAGAAGGAATAAAAATGCAATTAACTTTTTTTCCTTCTTTAATTCTACTGCTCCAGAGAAAAGTGTAAATATTAAAAATAACAATGACAGCTCTTAAGAAAGAAAAATAAGAGAAAAAACTAAGTAATTAGATTGCATATGAAAGCCTGAGGCTTATATAATTTCCTTGAAACTATTTCCTTGAAAACTTATATAGTTTTCCTTGAAACTATTACTCTGCACACCTACATAAGTGCAAACAAAGCCTGTCTTGACATTGCAGGGTATTACCAGGGGAAATTCGTACAGGAAGGACTGTCTCTCTGGGATTTTCCAATATCAATTTTTCTAAGTAGAAACTTATTCCCATAGTAATCACTCTTTCTTTTTAAAATTGATTTATTAGTTATTCATTTTGCAATGCTGGGGACCAAATCCAGAGTGTCATGAGCGCTAGGCAAACACTTTACCATTAAGCCACATATATTTCCAGCCTTATTTTTAGGGTGTGAGTTAAAAATTAACTGGAAGGATAGCATAATGTTAAGATTTCATAATGCTGGTAGAGGATATGTGGTTGTTACATTATTCTCAAATGAATTCACTATAAGCAAAATGATCTTGAAAAAAATCTCAGCCAAAAGGCACAAAGACATAAACACACACACACACACACACACACACACACACCCTGACCAGCTCGAGTGCATCTATGTGAACATTATAGGTTTCAAGTATTCACACTCAAGTGAATTTTTGGAAATCAGAGCACCTGAGTATAGAGCATAAAACAGTCAGAAGAACTGATGAGATTCCAGAGGACTTCCTTTTGTATTGTGATGGCTAATCAAAGTTGTCAATTTGACTGGACTGAGAGATGCCTAGAAAATGGTGACACAACTCTGGGTGTGCCTATGAGGGTGTTTGCTGAGAAGACTGGCATGTGGATCAATGAACGGAAGGCCCAAGATCTGCCCTAAACGTAGGAGGCATCACCCAACGGGCTGGGTGCCTCACAGGACAAAACGCAGATGAAGGGGGAGCTCTCACACCTGCCAAGCCCCGTTCTTCTTGAGCTGCTGCCATGGCCAGCTGACATCAGATTCATCACAGCTGTGACTGACTCTCCAGGGGCTTCTAGCACTGTTAGAAATGGCTGAGCTGGCCCCCATATCATTCTTGGGCGTATGATCCTCTGGCCATGTGATCTCTCCCTCTCAGCAAATACTCCTGCCATGGTAATGCCCTCCGCCACGGGGTCCTCACCAGAGTTGGTGCCAGCGCCATTTCCTTGAGCTTTTTCTTTATGAAGTTGCTCAGCTTCACATACTTTGTTAATGTAACAGAAAACAGTAATCCAGGGCTCACATTTTATTCAGCAGCAGTAACAATCTAGGTGACAACTCACGGAGAAATTTCAAACTGTCATACAATCTAATAAGCAGTAAAAGTACTAATTATTAATGGAAAAAAATTCCAAAGCTTCTTTATACAATATAGAAAAAACTTGATAGTTAAAAATATGTATTAAAAAGCACACAAGAAAAATGCACCAAAGTCCAGTGAAGTACTGTTTTTTGGCTTCGGTGTGAAGACACACATGCCATATTTAATAGCTGTGGACTACTTGGCTGTCCTATACCTACTTTGAAGAATAGTTATAAAATTCTAATCAAATGAATGTTAAGATTTTTCTGCAGTTCTTCTAGGATATCCTTGTCCTTTTTTCTTCTTACTTAATCTTCCCAAATTTTTAAAATGATAAAATTCAACTGCATTCTCAGCAGAGAACATACAGTAACTGGAAACATTATTTAAGAATACAATAAAAGGCACATTGGTTCCAGTTTCTTAAAGCCTATGTAAACTGAAACCAATCATCAACTTGGCCTCATTTTTACATATTTCTTGTATAATCATCTCAGGAAGTCACAGAGTAGCTATAGAAAAAACATCTACTTGAAAGTACATTACTGTCAGAGGTTAACTTTGAGTCAGATATGCAGCTGATTTACCAACACTGCAAAGCTAGGTCGACACCGAATCATTTAAGGACAGCAGGAGACTTTCTTTTAGGCGTTTCATCTTCTCCATCTGCAATAAAATGAAATTATACTACTCCCTTCCAAATTCCTTAGGAAACCAGTGAAACATATCTTGTGTTTCCAAGCTAACTAACAGCTTTAAACCTACACAGAGGCTGGGAGCATAACGTGGTAGCAGACCCAGGCTTAGCTTGTACAAGGTCTTAAGTTCAATACCCACCCCCAACCAGAAAAAGACGAGAATAAAGAAACCAAAAACCCTATACATCAAGAAATGTTTCTTCCACAGCTTCAAACTTTAAAACTGACATCACAAACTGCCTCAATTTCTAGATGTTCATGGAAATGACTGTGCACTGAACCATAGGCAAGAGGCAGATTTGAGATGTGAAAAATAACAACCTCCCCATTTTTTTTTTGTTTGTCTGTTTGTTTTTGTACTAAGTAATGAACCCAGTACACGTTGAACTGTATCACCAGCCCTTTTCTATTTTTTTAATTTTGAGGTAATATATCATTAAGTCACTTAATTGCACAGGCTGGTCTTGAACTTGTAATCCTCCTGCCTCCGTCTTCCAGACTACTGGGTTTCTAGATATGTACCACCGTTCTCAGTTCAAAATGCTTTTTTAAAAATCGGTGCTTGAGTTTCAACAGTGAGGAAATACATCCAGGCATTCCATGACTGGACTTCTCAGTACTGAAATAAAAAATTTCCTTTAAAAAAAAATACATAAAATAAATCAGTGCTTTCCATAACGGAGTATGGAGCACACACTGACAAATACCTAAGAATTCTCTTCATTCAGCAACTATGAACTGGGATAAATTTATCATTTACCAACTAAGAAACACAGTTACTCAGCAATCTTTTGGAATAGGCCAGGGAGAACTATGGCAATCTTTTCATGGGGAATCAAGGCTAACTTACTTTTAGAAACCATTTTAACAATCATATTCAAACTTTGGAAGCTAAATCATCCAAAAGAATCAGAAGACAGGGGGGCCTGTCCCTTAGCTCAGTTCTTTAAGTGGCTGCTTCAACAAAGCAGTCAGGCTCAGGTTGCTGTGGTTGATCCCCAGAACTCAAGCCAGCCAAACCTGCCCTGAAGGCCTTTGGAGCAAAAAAAAAAAAAAAGACAAAAATAACTCCGCTTGAAAATCCTCTGCATTATGTGAAAGTGTGTCAGAGCAAAAGACAATAGAAAGCATGAGAATGCACCCACATGTCACATTACACTAGCAAAAGTAAACTTTAAAGATAATGCTAAGCAAGAAAGTAAAGATAAATAGCTGCAACCCTGGCTTCATAATACATTACATAATCAATCTAAAGTATGTTAATGGTCATATACACAAAGAAAAAAACAGATAATTGTCTACTTAGATTAAATTATTTCCAAATTTCTTTTTATTTCCTAATTAAAACAATAGCTGGTACACAGCCATAACTGCACTTTCCTGGAGGATGAGGCTCTAGGATCACCAGGTCAAGGTCAGCCCTGGAAACTTAGGATGACACCATTTCAAAATAAAAAATTTTGAAAGGGGTAGGGGAAGACTCTGTGGTAGAATACCTGCTTAGCATGCACCAGGCCCTGGGTTCAATCCAAAATATCTTCCCTTAAAAAAAAAGTACGGCCAGCCAAATAGCTCAGCAGAGTAAAGTACCTGCAAGCAGGCACAGGGACCAGGGGTTCAGTACCAGTCCCACCCCCGGGACACACTGATAACAGCAAATGAGACTGGGCATGGTGTTGCGTGCCTGTAATCCCAGCTCTTGGGAGCCAGTAAACAGGTAGATCACTACAAATCCAATCTAGTAGTGAGACCCTGAATACCCTGTAAACCCTTCCCTAAAATACAAAAAATAAAAATAAATAAAAATTTTAAAAGTACATGATTCACAATTTACTTTATGTAAACTGCATGAATTTTTAAAAATGTGAAATGTGTGTATATACACACAATACCTTATATATTCTATTGTCAATAAATAATTGCCTGAAAATATTTCCCTCTTTCACATTTCTATCTTAGTTTGACTAAGGCTTCCCCACCTTCCTCCTCGATCTGATATCTTAAATCTGACCCAGAATTGTAACTAGAAGGGGGCTGGGGAGATGGCTCAGTGGAATAAGCGCTTCCCTGGCAAGCGCAAGGGCCTGAGTTCAATCCCCAGTTGGGGGGTTGGGGGGGAGAAACAGAATTGTAACTAGAAGGGCTGGGTATGGTGGCACACGCCTGTAATGCCAGCACTTGGGAAGCTTCGGCTGGAGGATCATTGCAAGTTCGAGACCAGCCTAGGCTACAAAGTGAACTCAAGATTTAAAAATAAAAGAATTGTGACTAGAGAACAAGACTAGCCCCTAGGTAAACAATCCTGTCTCTTAAAAAAATAAAAAATAAAAATCTAACTGGACAGTGAGATTCTACATGAAAGCATCTGTGAAAAACCATATCCCAAGAGCAAATCTTAAGCCAAAACCATCAAGTAGGGTAAAAAGTACATCTGTCTTGATACATGTTTGTGTGGCGTGTGCTGGGCTTCGCAGATGCAGAATCTTGGTCTACAACTAAAAGGAGATGGGAGTGAAGAAAAGTGACACACACAACTACAAAACCCCATGCCAATTTTGCTACTTTTTGTGTTACTT